GGGAATGGCAAGGGCGGCCCCGGCGTGCACTAACCCGCCGTCGGGGAGGGGTGGGGGGAATCCGTCCAAAACTAGAGGGGGCACGCCGACCCCTCTAGCAAACCCGTAACCCTGTGGTTCCCTTCAACGATCTTCATCAAACCGGCGTGATGGAGTACGTTGGGACCACAGAAGCGGAGGGCTTGCCTTAACCGGCCGGCCCACGAGAAAGGAAAACTCTATAAAAACCCGACAGAAAAGTCGTAAAAACCTGGTGGATACCTGGCGACCTCCCCAGTGGGCTGCGGCTATAGCCTTACCCCCGGAATAGGCGTCACCCGGGGGCGGACCTTTATTTCGTCCTAAATCGTGGGAACCAAAATGGATCACTTTAAAAATAAAAACCAAAGAGAGGAAGAGGAGAAGAGACGGGGTGAAAAAGAGGTGGCGCGAGAGGAGAAGGATGTGTCCATCTCGGACATGTCCTTCTCGGGCGAGGAAAGCGACCCGGTGGAGGAGACACCTGGGCGACAACTGCGTAGCCAGACGCAGAAGGCGGAGTCGGCGTCGAAGCTCAAGTTAGCCTCAGGGCCAACAAAAAAGAGGGCGCTAAAAAGCTCAGACGAAGAGGCATACTTGGCCGTGCCAAAAATGTCGACGGCAACGAGGGGACGCAAACGCGGCACAGCTGCAGGAATGCACAGTTTCCTGAAGGCGGCTAAGGAGCACCTGGCGGAGGGGTTGGAGAGCGACGTGGATGACTCCGACCCCACATACCGGGCCTCCCTCAGAAAGCCGGTGAGCCCGAGGAAGGTGGGGCCGTTGCGAGACAGCGAGCATAGCGCTGAGGAGGAACGGCGCAGACTCTGCGCGGACAACGCTCGACTAGCGAGGGAGCTTGAGCTGGTCCGCGCGGAATTACGCGCCTTCAAAGAGGCGTACTCGGAGTCGCAGAAGCGAACCGCGGCGAATGCGGCTCCAACGGAGGCACCCCAGGCACATTCGAACCTGGAAGAGGTGCTTAAAAGCGCCTTAGAGGGGATGAGGCGCGAGCTCCTACAATCTGTTGGCGGGTTGGTAAACGCCCGCCTAGAAAGCCTGGAGTCGCGCCTCCCACCAGAGCCGGTGTTAAGGCCCCCTCTAAGAGCGGACAAGCGGCAACCGCCGCCGCCTCGACCTGAAACTCGATCTGGCCTGGCGCCTGGAGCCATCGGAGGGGACCCTGGAGCAACCCAGGCCCCTAAGGCTAAACCCAGGCTAGCCAGACGGAGGCCCACCAAGCCAACTGGCCCTCCCCCTCCCCCTTCCTCCTCTCAAGACGTGAGAGGAAGCGCAGGGAGAGCGGGCCAGGAGGACCACACTCCCCAGACGGCGGGGAGCGAGGTCCAATGGTCAAAGGTGGTCGGACGTAAGGCCAAGGGGAAGGGAAAAACCCCAGCCTCAGCCGGAGCCCCCTCCCAAACCGGTACATCCCGGAAAGGGGCTGTGGGTCCCCCCCCCACAAAAGCGGTAAAGATCGTGGCCCCCAAGACGGCTGCCATTAGTCTTACGTTAAAAAAGGGGGCCACAATCTCCACAGCGGAAGGCCAAGTCACTGAGGCCAGATACGTGGAGGTCTTGGCTAAGGCCAAGGCCTCCATCAGGCTCAGTGACTTTGGCCTGGAAACAATAAGAATCCGCACGAGCATGACCGGCTCCAAACTAATGGAAGTGGGGGGGGAAACCCCAGAAGAGACCGCCGACCGCCTAGCCTCGGAATTGACAAAAGTCATCGGGGCCATGGCGGACATCGCCCGCCCGTCTAAACTGGTTGACCTCAGGATCTCCGGTCTAGATGAGACGGTGACCCAAGAAGAGGTGGCGACCAAGGTGGCGACGGTTGGGGGCTGCTCCCCCAGCGCGGTCAAAGTGGGCCTTATCAGGCCCAGCTTCTGGGGTGGCGGCTCTGCCCTTGTCAAATGCCCCGCAACGGCTGCCAAGGCAGCCGTCACAATAGGGAAAGTGGCCATAGGATGGAGCATGGCCACCATCAACGCTGTGAAGGCCCGGCCGCTAAGGTGCTATAAATGCATGCTGCTGGGCCACACACGCGCCCTATGCCCGACGGAAGTGGAGAACGGTCAACTCTGTTTCCGTTGTGGCGAAGCGGGGCACAAGGCGGCCGCCTGCGAGGCGCCCTGTAAATGCGCAGTATGTGCTAAAGCAGGGCGCCCGCATGTGCACGTGATGGGGGGTGACAAATGCGTGCCCCCCACCGTAAAAGGGAGGGCCTCGGCAGGTAGGCCGCGCCCTAGTCCGCCACAGAACTGCCAGCCGGCTGAGGAAACTATGCAGGTGTCTTAATGCCCAGACACCTGCATAACGAATTCTTGCAGACTAACGCCAACCACTCCGCCCGCGCACAGGACCTGCTGATGCAGGCTCTGGCGGAGTGGAAAATTGCCGTTGCGGTCGTGGCCGAGCCCTACGTGGTTCCCCCTCACTCCAACTGGTTCGGGGATACGGAGGGTTTGGTCGGCATGGTGGCGCCACCGACGGGCCTGCAACGCCTCTCCCTCAGGGAGAGGGGAGCGGGTTACGTGGCGACAAACTGGGGAGATGTAGTACTTATCGGAGTCTACTTCTCCCCAAACAGGACCCTCTCGCAATTTGAGAGGTTCCTGGATGGCCTGGAACCGGTGGTACAGAGGGCATCGCCGGCCCAGGTCATCGTGATGGGGGACCTCAATGCTAAGTGCGCGGAGTGGGGGTCCTCCATCACAGACGCGAAAGGGGCGCTTCTCCGGGACTGGGCTACAGTAATTGGCCTAGCCCCGGAGAACCGAGGCAACGCCTTCACGTGCGTGCGCGGGCGGGGTGGCTCGGTGGTGGACGTAACGTTCGCCACCCCCGCCATCGGTGCTCGCATAACGTGTTGGCGCGTCCTAGAGGAGGTGGAGACCCTGTCCGACCATGTGTATATTCGGTTCAGGGTCTCCAACGCGCCCCACGCGCGCCAGTCCCGTGTGACGAGCGGGCGAGGCGTGGAGAGCTTCCCGAGGTGGCAGCTCTCACGCCTCAATGCGGACCTGGCCGAGGAGGAGGCCGTGGTCCGCGCTTGGTCGGCGGACCCCCACCACAGGATGGGGGTGGAGGAAAGGGCCGCCAGGTTTCGCCATGACCTGACGGCCATCTGCGACGCTGGGATGCCCCGGGCGCGACGCTTCGCGCCCAAGGAAGGTGTATACTGGTGGACGCAGGAGCTTGCGGCCCTGCGTGCAGCCAGTAACGCCGCCCGGCGCGCCTTTACTCGGTGTCGAAGACGTCGGCAACGGGTGATTGGCGAGTTAGAGCGCCTTCAGGCTGAAGT